CAACGTCCTTCTGAAATAGTCTCAGACTCCTAGCTTAAAAAAATGTTAGAAAAGGAATATAGAACTTCCATTTCTAGTTAATTTATTTTTTCCATTTTCTGTCACCCAAATTACTACACTTTCTGGAGAACAGCTCAATTCTGTGCAATTACTTTTACATCAATAAAGGCATTTGCATTATTTTTCATTTTATATTATGTGGCAGAACAAGATTTAAAACAGGCAGTTTAATACAACACCTGAAGTCTTAAGTGACTGATAGGAAAAACCTTATATGAAAGAAGTATAACTCACTCCTCACTACTCTGTTAAGTTTTAGTAGTTTACATTACTTTCCCATGGGATTTTTTCAGTCATTTATAGTTCATTGCTTCATATGGCTATAGAATCCCTGCTGTGTTAAAAAATGCCAAGTAAAATTATATCTCATTCACTGCTTTATGCTATACCTTCTTTTGTTCAGATCCAATTAGTGAAAGCTTGTTCTTCATTTATCATACTTTTAGCTGATTATGTTAGGCACTACAATAGTTCTCTAGCTTTCCTTGACAATGTTTGCACCATCAGTGTTACATTTATGGTTGAGGAGGCTCTTTCATCTTAACCCTCTATTCCAATCAGTTCAGGGGGAAAAGTACATATGATTACTCTTGTTCAGACTTCTTTGCTTGTTTTCTCATATCAAAAATAATTCCACCAGATGTTTTAATTTAAAAAAAATCTGAATTTTACTGGTCCTTCCCCACTTTACCTATTCAAGTGTAAAGAATCAGTGTTTTGAAAGCTGAACACTGAAGTTAAAAAAACCAAGAAAACTTAGCATTTTGAACAGTATACAACTTTCTTCTCTGCTTTCGCCAAAATAACAGATGCAATCAAAGAGTATTAGCCACTATTTTCAAGAACCTGAAAGCATCCATTATGATCTATTTTATTCAGTACCACATAAGCAACTGTAATGCTCTATGGGGGTCTCAGCAGCCATTTTGTCATGCTGTTTTTCCCACCACTTCACACATCCTCCCACCTCCACAAAACTAAATGCAATTCAATCCCATTTAATACCATTTCCGGCTATCTGTAAATTTGCATTAATACAGGAGCATCCAAAAGTCTCAGAAGTCACCTATCTCCTTTTAAGTTTTGTTAACATTCTCTTCCCTATCACCATGACAATACTCACCTATAAAAATCTTTCAGATCTTTGGTAATTTTTAAAATTAATAGCACAAAACAGTATATTTTGTTTTTTGTATTCTCCCTCTTCAGGTAAGCTTTATTTGGTTCTCGGCAGGTTGTTCCATTTTTGCCACATTCCCAGTTTATAACAAGTCCTCTCTGCTGCTTCCTCCTCATAACAGCAAAGTTTAAAATTCCTTGAGATGAAAATTCCTTTACGCTCTTCTAGTCTAGTTACTACTTTTATCTATTAATGGTAAATATCTCCAGATTGATATTGCTCTATCAGCATACTCAAGACATTTGCCATGGTGCTCCACAGAAACTAAGTGTGAAAAACAAGAAAAAGCTGTTTCATGGAAAGCTTATATGCACTTTGTTTATTCCCACCACCTCTATTCAGCACTGTAAATTCCACAAGGATTTCAGTAATCTGAAAATTTAAAAGAAGTCAAATATTCAACCAAAAGAAATCTAAAAGAGCTCTAGGTTAATATAACTGTAAAGTCTTGTAGTACTTTTATTCAAAGAGCATTATTTTAAGATTGTGTATACAATTCCTATACAAACATTAGTGAAACTGCCTGCTTGAATCATTGAATGCATATCACTAGATAAGAAATAAATTAGAAGCTATCACTGAAAAGCCTGAATTGTTAAATACCTTGTGATACCTGTTTTATTTCTCACCTTAAGTATTTAGTGAGCATGCTGAAGGAACTTTGCTTCTGTTCAATTTCTTTGTGTTTTCAAACAGTATGACAAAACCAGAGTCATAACAGACCAACTGGACTGCCCTCCTTTTATATTGGTTACAATTAATTAATTCATATTAAGAGTATCAGGCTACCTGTTTCTCAGTGAGTAGCTATACAGATGACAAGGAATGTAATAAGGGGCTTTAACTACATCTCAAAGGTTACCCCAAGTTCTAAGCATAAAATTTATCTATTGTAGCTAGTGCTACTTCTAAACATGTTAATAAAAATTTATTTTTGTAAGATAGCCCTACCTACTTTGGTTACTTAAAACCCAGTCCCACTATTTACAGAAAAGACAAACACTGTTGGGATGGGCACCCAGTTCAACTGCACATCTTTACAGCTATTTCTGTCTTTGGTTCAGTGACCATCATCATCAGGGTAGCTGCCTATCATACTCATTACTTTTGCAATACAAGTCATGAAGGAGTGAGATATCCTGTCAGCACAAAATCAAGAGAATACTAACAACTCTCTTGCAGCATCCCATCACTAAGCAAACACGTTTTTCCTAGCTCCATGAGGACAGAGATTCCTTTGGCAGGTTGCATGAGCTCCTGAGCATGACTTCAAAACATTTGACATTTTGCTATGACTGGTACAGCCAAGAAGGATGTTGTTTATGAAACATTGGACAGAATTATGAACAACTGTTGTTGGTGACTTTACTGTAAGTCACAGAGTAAAAGAATTTGGCCTGTGGACTCATCTGTCAAGGTCATCCAAAATGGCAATCACACACATCACTGCAATGGGCCAGGTCATTCCCATAATGAAAAACTAGAAGTACCCAAGTCATTAAAACAGACAACATCAAGTAAACTCTTTTCCAGTGCAAGCACACAAGGCAATGACTGAAGGATCTACAGTAGACATAAATAACATGTATAATTAGACCCAAAAAACTAGCTTAGAATAGTTTTTCAAGTAGCCTTCCTCTCATTTTCCTTTAAATACCTGGAGCTTCTTCAATGCACACAGCTAATGCTTAACCTCATACAGATAGTTTGGTGAGTCTTTAGGTAAGGCTCCAGAGAGCTAAGCAGACACTACATCACCCTTACAGCATTTGTTAGAGCCTCGTCTCTTGTCCATAAACTCAAAATGGCAGCATCCCTTCTAACACACTAAATGTTATCTTGATGAACTACCATGAGTATATTAATGCATTTCTGACATACCAGCTTGGATTTCCTTTCTCTTGGGAACTATTACTAATTAAAGACCCTATTTGTATTTTAAAGCTAATACAGCACTGTAGCTCAAAGCAGCATAGACATATTTTCAATGTCCTTTTTGTAAATGCACTATTTGTACACCCTTCCCCCTAAAGTCATGAGTTGTACTTTTTCATGCCATTCTTACTCTCTTATCATGTTCTTCAATCTTGGTTTTCACTTACTGCTTTCAGATCTTGTCACCATTGCATTGTGACAAGAACTGGAAACTTGCATTTCCAGTTCATAGCAGAATCCACACAATCAACAGACACACTGGAGAGAAGATCAATTCATTTTCTCAAGTCTATTATGGACTGGTGAAAGAACATGTGGGTCTTCTTTAAACAGCTTTTTAAGTCTATTTTCAGGATGAATTCATGCCAGTGAAAAGGCTATGCAGTGCTGCTAAACAGTGAATCCATTTATCTTTACAGCAGATGCTCTATACATAAGATGGAATTCAAGTACCCATCAGCATGCTTCAGTTTTACTAGAGGAATCATAGATCATACAGAGTAGTTTGTATTCATATTCACATAACCCTTCACTTCCAAAAGAATTAGAATTTATCATGATGTCTGACATCCACCCATTAAGAATTCATTTCACAGCCCATTGAGCACCCACAAGCTACTACATTACCAGTTATGGCTACCAGTTGAAACCCAGACCAAGTGTACTTTCCATTCACCTCAAAGAAAGAAATACATGCCATAAAAATCCATCAGTAGAGCATTTCAGAAAGTCTCATTTCAGTCCCTTGCTCAGTCTACAGCCTATTCATACAAGCTGAGCTGGTCATGTAGTAATAGAACCACAAAGGGACTCAGACAAAAGCTATGTCAAAGTCCAAAACTCCCAACAGCTCCCACCTTCATTCAACTCTGAAACACCTAAGTTCTAACTACTTTCAGATTTCATGAACCACGTCTGTTTTTTCAATGTTGAGTAACTCGCCACCTATATTCACAAGTCCTGTCCTACACAAAATACACTTTTTTTTTCTGGTAGCTTGTCTGAGCGACTTCTTATTAAATCATAACACAGGGGTTTAACTCCCTTCCAGATTTCAACAAACTTTCCTGGAACATGGGGGTATCCCTGGTCATTTCTCCTGTAGCAGTTCTTGCAGGCAAGGAATAATACTGTGTTCTCTCTAGTCAACAGGAATATGTAAGTATGACTACACTTGCTGTTATACCACACAAGAAATTATCCTGTTATTGTTGCCATGAATGATAATGAAGAGACTACAAAACCTGAAAATGGGCAATACAGGTACCTTGCTTGTCTAAAAAGCTATTTTAGCACCTTTTCTGCTATGCTGCTGAATATTGAAGGTACATCAATAGCCTCATCAAAGGGAACAGCTCCTTTAAGCCTGTTTAGGATACCTGGTAGAAGGGGACATTTCTCTGGAAAGTAATGAAAAAGACTTACCAGACACAGGAAAAATTCATACTAAGCTTTATACCTTCTTCTAGGATCCACACTTCATTGCTTTTTTGTGCATAATAGCAAAACAAAATTTAAGTTTTACTGCTACTCTCACACTTGTTGCCCACATCTACATATGTGCACATATATCTAGCTTAACCCACACAAAGAGAAAGGTAGCATTTACACAAACACAGAAGAGTTCACAGAAAAAACATGCTAAATACTTATCCAATCCTTCCTCCACCTTGCTATCTCCACTCACTTCAAGCACATAGAGGAAAAGGACAAAGATACTTCAGAATTGCCAACATACCTACAACAATAATCACTAAGACTAATAGCTGCAAGTCTTGCTGAATTACTAAAACCTCATCTACCACTTGAATTAAGTAGTACTCACAGCATTAGCGTCGACATCACTGTGTATGGCAACTGTTTTAATCCCCATCTTCTTACATGTTTTGATGACCTACCACATAAGAAGTGAATACAAATATTTAAATACCAACACTTTTAGAATTAAATATAAAAAGATGAAAAGGTTACATACTTACTCGGCATGCAATTTCTCCTCTGTTGGCAATAAGCAGTTTTTCAAAAGTCTGAAGGGAAAAGAACAATGAGAGTCTTGAGAAACAAACATAATCCAAGTTTTTCTCCTTTCAGAAACATGCATTCTTTTCTCCTCCACTTCCACTAAAACCATGGTTTATCCATGAGCTTATAATTCTGAGATGACCTACTTTTAAAAGAGTTCTCCTGATTTAAATGATAATATAACAAACAGCATGCTATACTAGATCTACCTAGCACACAGACAGGTTCAGAAGAAAAAGGCTTTGACTAATCACGTGAACATTCCTTGGATCTGCTTGCCAACTAGAACCCTACCACAGCTCTAGGAGTCAGTCAAGCCCAGGGAAAAGGTGCAGTCAGTTTTATGTTGCCTGGAAGCAGCACAGATACATGCTGGTATTATACAGGTACAATGCTAGCAGGTACAGCGGTCACAACCCATAACCAGTATAGATGACCTGGAACACAATACTCATCAATTATGGGAGCCCTTTAAAAGGCATTCCAATCATAAGGAAGAGAGGCTCCACCATGCCTAGTTTGTGGAGGATAAAAGACTGACAGTTTGACCCAGAACAGGCATACCTGCTGAGTTGCACCAGCCTTGCCCCTTCTCCTATCTGAGCCTCACCTGAGGAACTCCGCAAAATCCTGCATGGCCATCAGGACATTGTTACACACTAAATACTAAGTAGCATCTGCAATGCAACAGAATAGCAAATCAAACCTAACTACTCGCCTGAAATTCACTGTCACCTTTCACACTGGAATGCACTAATGCTGCAAATGTACCTTCAACACTTCTAGATCATGCCTGTAAGAGGGAATACCAAGCTGTTGGAAGTCAAAAAGCCTTACAGACTTTCCCATTAAGAAAACAGCGGCAGAGCAGCACAGTTGGTCAGCATAAAAATCTCATTGCTGGGACTGAGGGTTATTGCTGTCATGGGCCTTGCTACTAAACACAGGGACACTTTGGAACTGCACCTGCTCAGTTATAAATACAGACTGCCACTGAAAGGGACTGTCCTGGGTGACATGCTTACCCCACTGCTTTCTACACGCCAGACGACAGGGATGCAGCTCCAGGACACATCCCAAGTTTGTGAGCAGTCCTACTCTGCCTCCCATGCTCCAAATGAAAAACATACAATAGGGAACCAGCAGGACTGCCTCCTTCAGGGGCATACCACATCAGTCATACCACATCAAGTTTATCAAATGATATCCAAAGACATTTGACAGCTATCCTTCCTCCACTACACCAAACAGCTTGCTTTCAGAAGGACTAGGGGAAGAAGAGATATTGCACCACAACAACTCAATGGTTTACTAACCTTACAGTCATTAGCTAATTTAAGGAGGGGAAGACAGGTGCCTGAGGAGAGGGAGGAACACTGCAAAACCCCAATAGGAACTGCTGTTGACAGACTAGAACACGTTATTTGCTCTACACTCCAGAGAAACTCAAGGTGCCCTTGACCAAATTTACTTTTTCAAAGTCAGGGCTGAGCTGACATCACATGACCAGTTTAAAAACACTACCATGTGATAACACTATACAGAAATTAAGTGATAAGAAACCCCTCCAGGTGAGAGCTGCAGCAAGCTTACACAGTAAATTCAGCCAGATTTGCTGAATACCACTGCCCAGTGCACAGGCACACCTGACGCAGATGGATCTTAAACAAGCTCAATTATCAGAGATACCAATACTTTAAGAAAACCACAGGAGCTACCAACTTTTTTTGAAGAGTTCTTAGCTGGTGATCTGGTCTAAAAAGGTTATCAACATCATAATACACACACTGTTCCCGAGTCTAAATTTCAGCATTCTAGGTACCTAAAGATTTTCAGGCATATAGACTTGAGGGGGAATTTAAAAAATACTCCCAAATACCTGCTACTGAAAAGCCTCATGATTCAAGTTCACCATCAACCTAGTTATTGGTACATAAATGCTGTTTTATTAATCAGCTGTGATCACAGTACAAGACAAGACTTTCAATATCAAGATTATAAGAATATTTGACATTTTAATTTCTCAATTCTAGTCTCTGTCTAAAGAAACAGATTAGACTCCAGTCTAGCACAATAAAAAATAATTAAAATCACATACTGCTTTGGAGTAATGTTTTTAATATAATTTCAACTAATTAGGCTGAAAAGGTGTCACATGAAAGTCTTATCATCACAAAGACAGTTTAAGTGCTTTTCAGGTTTGTTTTGTTCACTCCCCCTTCCTGTCTGTGGTAGTCATGAAATGATATAGCTCCTAATTGAGAGAAACCAAATACCCAACTATATGGCCTAAATATAATTATGCATTTAGAAAAGCAAGGGAACCTTAATTAAGCAAGAACCTTAAGAAAAAGAAATCTTCCAAAAAAACTGTAAAGCTACAGTTCTAGGTACACACTGGTTTTCTCCATTTCCTAATATTGTTTTACTTCTAGTTAATTGCTTCTACACTGGTGTATAAGGACAAGCCTATCAGTCCTGAATTGTTGGCATCCTTGCCCTTGAATATTAGCGTACCTTCAGTCACATTATTTTTCCAAGTGTGTTACTTCAGAGGCCATGCCAAGACAATCTCCCAGAAGGAAAGTTTTTCTTGGCTCATAACTGTAAATTGAGATTACTACTGCACAACTCCCAAGATGAGGATTTGCTATTCTCTGCAGGCTTTAAAGGCCCATCTTTTTCCAAGGTCTGAAGTTCTCATCCCCATGCCCGGTCATCTACCAATCATGCTGCCACTGTTACAGAGTTTTGTTTCCACAAACAGCTTTTGGCTAGCCTAGCTCCTGAGTGTTTTAACAGGCCCATTACCACCCACACTACGAAAAACATTAACAGTTGTTTCATAATTATAACATGTTCAGGCCAGTATGTGACTTTCCCAAGCTCACAATCACTTATTAAGCCTTTTGGGATACACCCAAAGTAGTATTCCAATCTTGCTTGACATGTATCGTGCAAAAGCAACTTCTTTTTTGGTTTAGAAAGAAAAACATGCTATTAAACCAGTGATGGGTTATACCACGAGAACTACCATTGTTAGTAGCAGCACAAAGAAGAGGGCAGCTTAAAAACCCAAAAATCAGTATTATATTAGTATTAGAAAGATGTCAAAAAGAAAACATGCACCATACTACTTACCTTTTCATTTGGATCATACACAGATGAATAGAGTTTATGTGAAGTTATAAGGCACCATCTTGAACACAGTGTGTCCCACTATAGAAGAAACAGGGAGTTAAGCCTGTTACAGTATGCCATTACATTAAAAAACATTTCATATGCTGACATCTCGAGGAAACATCCATAGTCTTTCATTCTCTCGCCAAGTGGATTAAAGCTCATAGAGAACTGCCCTTCTCCAAGCAAATACCCACAAACAGTAACCAGAAAAAATTCAGAAGCTCAACATAGGAGGTCATTAGCTTGAGCATAATGTTATTTGTAATATATTCTCTACTATACCATCTTCTTTCCTTCTTGCTCCAAGAAATACCTACAAGAAATTCTCAAAAGAGCGTGCATGCATATGCCTGTACACAGTGGTGATGGGGAGAGGCCTTCACTGCTGGGCATACAGCAGGCAGCAGACTGGCCCATACAGAGGGGAGAAGTAGAACAGACTTAAGATGCTAGCTAAGCTCTCAGTCTTATCTATCCTAGGCTCCTGACAGCAATCTGAGGAAAAAGAGGTCTTTTTTTCCCTTAGACTTCTGCTCTGAACCAACTCCTACACAGACAGTTCCTATAGCTTGATATTTTTGCACAACACAGGAAAAAGCAGTATACAGATGCTATTTCAAAGAAAACACAATAGATTATATCATAGATTTGTAAGTGAATCCAAAAGGAGATTAAGATGGGTATTACTTAAGCAAGTCATTTTACAATGTAATGGCAGTTAGCCATAAACAAAAATAATCATACAGATAAAATGATAGCACACCAAAGATACATCAATATAGACAGCTCTGGCAAAGTCACACTTAATCACCCATGTGGAAACAAAAACAGTATAAAAAGCCTTAATAATAGATATTGTCTAGTAGGAAACACAAAACAGCAGTGACAGAAACTGCCAGAACTCAGAATCTGTCAATTCCGCCTTAAAGAACTGTTTTCAAAAGTTGCAGAGATCTGAGGAAATAGTAGAAAGTAAAGGGTATCCTGTGAAAAGACTGAGGGGAAAAAAGATACAAATATGGACTACATTAGAAAAAAGATCAAAAAATAAGATCAATACATGTTCATGTAAAGAGCTTAATTAGAGAGTTCAGTTGCATCTTCCACAAGGGTAGTGAACTTAGGACAGTTCAAAATTTGATCGAATTTTAAGTTTACTGTAAGCTCATATCGATTTTGAAGTAACAGTGGCTGTCAGTAACTGGAATGTGAGCACTCCCTATACGGCCCTCTAGCCTGATTAAGTTTGAAAATACTTCTCATGTTGCATCACAGAAAGCAGAAACCAGCCAAGGGTTGAGAAGGCCATCACATTTGTAATGCAGCTGATCTTTTAATGTTATAAAGGAAAAACAATATATTTCAACACAAGTAAAGGAAGCCTTAGAGCCATACCATCTCTTGCCAGCTCCAACCAAGCCTCATGAGCAGAAAGCTGCTATAGTTACACAAATTGTTTAGTTGCCAGTTACTAGTGGCAAACATAGTTCCCAGATAATCCACCTATGCCTAATTCTTCCAAACAATTCACAAGTGTTTAATTTTTCCTGAAACTAAAAAGGGTTAGTGGAAAGCAACCACTCCACCTTGTTCACTGAGTTGTTTTCCATTCAGTTTTGTTTGTTTTGGTGGGGGTTTTTGCTTCTTTTATTTCTTTCACTTCATTCCTCAAAGATAAAAACCAAACCAACCTGAAACACAAATCATTTGATATGCTAGAATCAAATTTGCTAGAGGTTCTTTTGGTTTTTTGGGGTTTTTTTGCAGGAGTATATTATTCTTCATCTGAGTATGTGACAGTACAATTGGTTTCAGGCATTAAAGAGATGGAGTAAAGGACAGAATTCTGCAAGCTGCAATCACACGTGCCAGCTGGTCATTATCCCAAATTTACAGCACAATTGTTACACCTTCAGTGACTGTACTGTGATCTAGATATAGTCAGAGGGCAGAGGAAGGACATCTAGAGAAGCAGCGGAGTACACTCCTCTGCTCCAGAATACACATGGTTAAGCAGATTGGGTCCCTCTCTTCAGAAACACTATTAACAGAAGTGCTTGAGAGACCTCAAATAGTCTAAAGAAGGTCATACAGGACACAAAAACTCTCCACCAAGTTAATATTATTCATTGGAGAAAGTGCTTGTTAAGGGTCAGTGGGACTAATCTAAATACTTGCAGTTAGCAGGGAAAATGCAACAACCAAGCAAGGAAGGAAAAGCTTCTGAACTTTCTTGTAAATACCTTTCATCCAAAACTAGTTTTGGATGCCTGTGAGAAGCCAGAAGAGCTATGCACAGGAGACTGGAAGGAAAGGCTATGATGGGGGAAATTAGCTAGCATTAAACTGTAGAATCTTAGCCATCTTGGGAGGAAAAAAAAAAGCCCTGTTAAAACTTTTTATGCAGAAAGAATAAAATTACCAAGCAATTAAAACAACTTGGAAAAACTTTAAACCACACTCAGCTCTGGTTTTACACTATAGAATTGGACAGATTCCATATAAAAATCTTGTAATAGCCTAACCTAACTACCTACCTATGTTTAAAAATTTAACTGCCTCCTCTCATACACACAAGCAAATCACTGAGAAAGTCAAGTTCAGCCCTGAATCGAGTACTTGTGGGGTAATTTCCTAAAATAAATCAAGCATATTGCTCAACTCTAGTTCACAGCTTTTAAAAGAAGGGTTTCTATATACACTAAGGTTTAAAAGCTTGCATCCACTTAAAGAAATATGTCTTTAGAGGTCTGCTCCTAGCCACTAAGAGCAATTGAATACTTACTTAAAAATAAACAAGCATTTTGAAAATAATGCATATCTAAGGCCACAAAGGAATGTTACTAAATTGCCATCTCCAACCCTACAGCTATGCAGGTATCATCATCAACCCCTAGGCTCCTGAGCTCCTGCCATAGGTAGGTTCTTTAAGAGCTACAGCAAACCCCCAAAGACCTCTCAAACCAACAGGCCAGCAAAGCCAATCTAACTCTCAAGCTACATCCTTAATTGGCTGCCTCCCCCAAACCACACATGCCCCAGCTATTCTAACTTACACAGACATTTCCTCAGAACACAGCCCAGAGAGCTCAGCTTGACCTAAACACTTCCTTGTATCTTGTAAAACTAGGAGAGAGCAGTAGTGTCATCTGGTATAACCTATTCTTGTCATGATTTGTTACTTCCATTTGATAAAACTTTTGACTCTTGAAAGCCCAAGAATGCAGGCTATTCATTTATGAGAACTCAATCCTAGACTTCTACATCTGGCTTAGAGTTTCCCATGTCTAGCAAATTTTTGGAAAACAGATAGTATTTTGGAAAAAGCATCCTGCTTTGTCTATTATTAATTGCAAAATAGCCAAACTGATCTACAACAGCCGTAGCAGTCATAAAATAACTTCATATTAAAAAAAGAAAAATCAAACAACAGAGTACCTTGTAGAATAGTAAGCCCACTGCACACTCACTTTGAGACCTCAGAGACAAACTGCCTCCCCTTGGGCACCCAACCCTAGGAAACCTCCTGAGGTGGTTTAAGGACACAGCATACAACAGCAAAACAGAAAATTTACTTATTATTTAGATATGGCTTATATGTGCATTTTTAAAGGCTTACATGCCCTCATGGAGGAAGGAAATCTCCCTGCCATGCTGGTCAGCTTGTAAAGAACCCATTGATACTGAGCTTTACAGGCAGAAAAAGGTCTCAGTGTTAAATGGAGACATGGAGCTCCAGATTTCAGGCAGGAGAAAACCATCATATATCAATATTTGCTGTAAGAAGTCTAGTATGGGAAGGAATGTGTATTTTAGCATTACTAGAAAATACAGTAAGCAATACCCAACAGTAACAGCCAGACTAGCACATTTCTTTTCACTATACAAATTCTACCTCTGCTAAGATTTTTGCCCCTACACTTTCAGAGACTTGGATGTAAGATACCATAAGAATAACCCCTTTATCTTCATGGTGTATCTAGTATTAGCCAGCAGTATTCCTGAGTAGTTATAAAACTAACGAAAATTATTTCTTTTTGCATGTTTTGATTACACAACAACTGTTCCCAAATCTTTATTTCAACTCATTTGACAACAATTTCCTGTGTGTGGAACTCTGATGGAGTAGGTATAAAGCACATAGGAAGCAGACACCCTCACATGACTGCAAGACTTTTAATCTCTAAGGCTGAAAACAGAGCTTGATAATAGAATATTGTACAAATCTTGTAAACAGAAAGGGAAACATAACACTTCTGTATTTCTTTTCTCTAAGGAAGCACTTTCCCTTCCTTTGTATGCTCAGAGTGCTGAACAGCCAAGCCCTTGTAACTGTAAGCAGATTCTCCTGAAGCCATCTGCAAACACAGCTGTGGTACAAGGTTCTGTAATGCACACTGCACTTCAGTGTCCCTTCTCCCTGACCAGACTGACAAACACCCACGATTCTAAGAACAGGAAATCTCTTTCGTATCTGCCAACATAGCATACAAACTACAAACAAGGAAACACTCATCCACCTAAGGCTAGTTTTTTAAGCTCAATCTTTCCTATATCCAGGTAGCTTCTCCTCTGTGCCAGTCCCTAAAGCTTGTTAGTGAGCCAGGCATGGGAATACAACCAGCTGAGAAGCTACTCACAAGGAGTGGGAAAAATAGTCTCAGCCAGATTCCAGTCTAGCTTATCCAAGATATCCATGCAGTAGTGCTGGCACAAGCTGGAGGGAGGCAGGAGCAGCCTGTGGTCAAGACCTAGCAGCTGCAGAAAGTTGGAACAGTTTCTAATGGCAGCAGCCTTAAGAGGTCCAGTAAGGCTGGCTGGCACCTGTGAAATAGATCACAGTACTGTAACAATCTATGCAAGCTGGGGACAGACAAAATAAATTAAACCACTAAGAGTGTTTCAGAACAAGAGTGACATTTTTTACCCAACATAGACTTTAATGAACTCTCAGTTTTTTTTCCTTTCAAAACTTTTTGTTGCACGTTTTCCCCAGAGTACATAGCACCGCATGCCTTCCCTAAAAATTCCAAAAAGCTACTCCTGGAACCAGAAATCTCTACCTGAATTACACTTTAAGAGTGCTTGCCAGTACTAAAATCTGTAGTTTACATACCAGAAACAATCACTAAACTCCAGAAGTTAGTGGTTACATTCATCTCCACAAATTGGCAATCATTTGAACTCCCTTCCCCAGTAGCAAATGATATCCAACCTTGCTATCCCATCAGCCTGATACTTCTGCACTTAGGAACAAGGGTGAAAATATTTATCTGGAATAACAGCATGCTAAAAATAACATCACAGGAGAGAGCAAGGGGCTCCCACTATACAGATAACTTCCATGACTTAAAAATTTTGGGTGCACAGATGGCAGAGAAACTTTCCATACATTTAATTCAATTACTAGAAAACTTACCTACACTGATAAAATCTATATCAGCAGTTTATTCCTTAAGTCAGGATGTATAGTATTTGTCACTTCCTTTTACATTATTTTAAACAGTCCAGAAGCTCTCTTTCAAGAGTTTCATGACTGAAATATAAAAGCCATGTCCCATACACATTTTCTGATGACAGCCTTCTTTCAACATCAGGTTTTCTCACAGCTACAGAAGTGCAAAGCATTTAAAATGAAATTTTGGTTATATTCTAAGCAGAACCCATTCTGCATAAAACCTAAACAGAAGTGACAGGCACTACATTCGAAACAGAGTGGAGAGTCAAATCCCCAGCTCAGTGTTTCTGCACCTTTCTCAGGTCCTTTATTAATTCCCACATGAAAGCAGCACAAGAAGTTAAGGACATCTCAGTAGTAGCTACTAGCCCGTGCAAAAATTGTTGGAGTTCCAAGCACAGTCAAGTTTGAAGATGTCAATTTCTTATTTATGTCAGCAAAACATAAAAGAATGTATGAAAGCAATTTCCATGCAAATTCATTTTATTAGAAGTTTCCCAATATATTGTTGTCTTGATGGTGACCTTCAGGGCTATAAATCGCTTCAGTGATATAACTCATGAGTGCTATTAATTAGCTATAAAAACATTTTGTTTTACAGAGGTGCCACTAACACAACATTTTCAATACTGCGTGCACTGATGCTGTCAGACAAGACCCTTGAGATGCCAGAGAGAAGGAAACAAAGAAGGCCTTTTACAGGCTCCAAAGGACTGACATCAGTCTTAGAACTACTTAGTAGGAAGAGCAGAAGCTTTCCATATCTCTATACACATCCTCATAGCTACCAAAATCAGATGTCAAACAGGATGGGCCCTCCATTAATGTGAAGTCATCTCCAGTAAAACAACTCTGGTTTTCAAAAAGCTTCTCTTGTGTACACCTTCACAGGAAAACAGGTTTACTAGGTGTATTTCCTAAGGAAAAATACTTGGGCAAAATACATGCTGTTTTCCTCTTTAATCCATTTTCAAAATTCCCTGCCCACAGAAACCACCTCTTTTACATGATTCCTAGAAACAGGTGAGGAGTTCCTTACAGTATTGCTATGAGGCGACATTTCTAGAAAGAGGCCCATCCCAAACCCTCAGGGGTGCACTGGGCAAAACATTTTCTGTAATTCATTGCACTCTTCTCCACTGGAACACTACACAAATTTTCCTTTTCAGGGAAAAAAAAACCTGTAAATTATTTCTACAGCAAACAATTAAAAGTGCATTACACTACTTTTCCCATAAAGAAACTAGCTGCAGCATCATTCAACTGTTACACAACACAATGTGCAAATGCTGTTTGGTCTTATATAAAATAGTATCTTTCTCTTAATACAATCTGTAGAGGTAACAACAGAGGTGAAAACACAGCAGGTGCCTCAGTGAAGCTATTCCACAGGCTACAGAATAAGGTTTCCTAGATAATTTCAGGTCTTCATCAAAAATATTGGTATGGTTCTGCAACGAGTTTATTGCATTTCTATGAAAAGCAAGAAAGAGAAAACCACAGTAAAACTTTAAGCAACAGCAGAAAGCACCATAAGTATATGGGGTTAAGGGGAAGGTGGGGGAAATGGGGAGGGAAGAGAACTCCTTTCTCTGTTAGCTAACATTTTACAACCAAAAATAGCACAAAACGACCCTCTATCTCAGAGTTTTCATAAGCTTGTGTTTAACAGAGGGAAAGAGCAGAAGGAAACTGAAATCACAGAACCTCAGAATCAATCAGGTCAAAAAAGACCTCTGAGATCATCGAGCCAAACCTATGGCCAAACACCATCACGTCAACCAGACCACGGCGCTGAGTGACACGTCCAGTCTTTCCACGAACACCGCCGGGAACGCTGACTCCACCATCCTAAAGTATCACATAACCCGGCTCACCAGCAGAAAATTAACTTAAAAAAAAACCAAAACAAACAAAAAATCACGGTCTCCTGGCAACATGCCGACGGGACGTACCACGGAAGGGCCTCTCGGGTGCCGGGAGCCCGCAGGCACAGGAGCCGGGCTCCACAGCCCCCGGCAGCCGCCTGCTCCCGGCCGCCTCTCGCCGACCGCCCCCGGCCCACCCGGGGCCGCGGCCCAGCACACACAGCGCTCCCCGAAGCCGCTCGCCCAGCCGGGGATCCCCGCCGGTCAACGGGGAAGCTCCTCGGGGGAGACACCACCCCCCCTCCGCCCTCCCGCCCTCAGAACAGCCCCTCGCCCGCCGACCCCATCCACGGAGAGCCTCCACCACCCGCAGCTCAGTGCCCCCAGGCCGCCGCCACTCTCGTGCCGGCCCCGAAGACGACGCTCACCCCCGGCAGCCGCGCCCGCCGGCCGCCGCAGCGCAGGAGCGGAGCCAGCGCCATGTCCGCGGCCGCCGCTGCCCGGCCGCCCTTTCACCCGCGCCGCCGGGGCCGGGCCGCGCGCAGCCAATCCCGGCGCGCGCCCGCCCGCCGGGGGCGGGGAGGGGCGCGAGGGGCCCGCCGCGCGCCGCACGTGCCCCTCGGGGTCGCGCTTGCGCGTGCCGCTCCGGGCGCGGCTGCGGCGGCTGCGCGCGCGCGCGCCCGGCGCGTGGGGCTGACCGCGGCGGGACCGCGCCCCGTGCGCGCGCACGGAGCCTCAGGACATCCCCGGCCGGAAGGGACCCGCAAGGGCCATCCCAGGACAACTGCTGGCCCTGCACAGGGCAGCCCCCGAGGCACTCCATGGGCCTGAGAGCATTGTCCAATGCTTGAGCTCTGCCAGCCTGGCGCTGTGGCCCCTGCCCGCGGAGCCTGTTCCAGGGCCCAAACACCCTCTGGGGAAAGAACCTTTTCCCAATACCCGGCCTACACCTCCCTTGACACAGCCTCGTGCCCTTACCCTGAACGTATGGGGCGCCTGCTCCTGTGCACCGGCCAGGAGCCGCAGCAGCACTGGGAGGGGACCCATCCCTCCCCTGGGCTTCCAAGGGGAGAAGGTGCAAAGCGCAGCTGTGACAAGCTCCTGCCCTACGAAGCACAAGCACGGCCGGCATGAGAGAGATGCTGATCATCCTGTGCTTCACATCATCCGCAGCATGTACTTGCTGCTTGGCTTCCTAGCACGCCAGAAACTCTGAGTCAGCTCCTTCTGAAATTACCTGTGCTGCCAGGTCCACGTTCTCTGCTGCAGGTATGCTGGTCTCAGCTGATGGACATGACAGAGTAGTGCCGAGCCCCAAGTAAATTGTCATGCCAGGAAATGCTGTAAAGGTTTTACCACGATGAGGGTGCAGAAGTGTCACTGTGACCATCTCAGACCTCTGTTGAAATGCAACAGAGGCATAAACTGCCCACAGCACTGAAGCATAGAAAAGACACAGTCCAAGCTGTCCAAATGAAATGAGTGTTCACAAAGCATAGGAATAAGAGAGCTTTTTCCTTTAAATAGCATTATTTCTACCATTTTTCCCTACCATGGTGATTGGAGAAATTAGGGTAAACTCAAGCCTTCATCCTTACTACAGTAGCAGATCAAGACTATGTTTCCTGAGGCTGAAAAACAATTATTCCCAGTTAAGAAAAGGGAGTGGGTCATAGTTTGCCCTTCACCCAAGACATGCTTTACAACAACCTCCTGATAGGGTTGGAAGACAGCAAAAAAAAAAAACCCACATCCATAAAGAAAATGTATATGAGCAATGCACACATTTAGGTTAGGAATAACCCCCTCAGACCTTAGACCAGTCTAGGTCCTTGGGCAGTTAGAAGGTGCTTCCTATTCAGCCAGATGATTATGTAAGTGCAGGTTTTACCAGATTACATCATCCCCTCAATTCACACATCATTACATAACAACCCTTATATTTTATACCTTTATAGCCCTCAGTAAATTCTCTCAGGCTATATATACTATATGTACAATCACATTCTGCATATTCCCATGCTGCGGGGAGACACCAGAGGTGGGCAGAAGCTCCAGGCAACTGGGTTCACCCAAACATAGATATTTTAATAGGACACTAGCTGCACGGTCCCCTAAGCAAAGCCCAAGTCCCTACTTGCATTTATGCATAATATTGAAAATTTTGGCCTAGTTTTATTGTTTGGCATCACTTTTTAAACATCTTATGTCACTATTTACATTCAAATGGAACAATATAAAAGCTGCGACAAAAAAAAAAAAAAGAGAACACTAGTATCTGAAGGGAAACTGTCAGGAGGATGAAGCTAGGATCTACTCAGTGTGCTGGTCAATAAGATGAGAAGCAAAAGGAGAAGCTGAAACACAAAGTTCCACCTGAACATGAGGAAGGTCTTCTTTACCGTGAGGGTGACTGAACAGTGGAAGAGAATTCCCCAGAGAAGTTGCAGTCTCCTTCCCAGGAATTACTCAAAAGCCATCTGGAATCAATCCTGAGGAACACCCTGTAGGGGTCCCTGCCTCAGCAAGGAGCGTGGACTAGAAGACATCCAGTGGTCCCTTCTAACCTTAACCATTCTGTGAACTCTGCTGCATACCAAAGATTTGTGAAATCACTTCTCTCCCTTTCCTCCCAAGCAAGCAGCAAAAATGAAATCAGCATTGGTTTCCCCCCTCTGTTGCACACGTACACATTTGCTCTGCTGCATTAACAACAACCACACAGGTGGGATCAATGCAAGAAAACTCTTCTGAATGTGTAGAGCAGGTCACCTTATTTTCAGTTGATAGTCACAAGCAGATTGTGACTGCACCCTGTAGATTTTTTCAGTAGATGTGGAGAGCCTTGAAAGTAGAAGAGACCAAGAGCAGAAGGGTGGTGGACTGACCACATCCACCAGAGGCACTTCCTTAGGTACATCAGATGCAGGGAGATACACACCACAACATGGTGTTACTGCTTTAGAACAATATCCCGAGGCACCTGACGTCAGTTCCTCCTGCCCTCATAAAGCAAACAGTCACATGGCATCCCCGGCATGTTTTCTTTCCCTCTACAGAGGAGATTCTCTTTGCCAGCCCGGCTGAGGGATGGCAGCCACCTACAGAGGCGCATCAAAGGAGGCCCCCCACAGCTGCAAAGGGAAACTGTCTGGGATTACACACAGACACCGCCAGCTGGGTGCATAAAGAACTTGATGAGAAATGGCCTAATGCAAGCCTGTTTCCATGTGAAGCTAACCCTCCTTGCGAGTCGAAGAGACTGGGGCAAAAAAGAAAAAAAAAAGCTAATCTCTCTGCACATGAAGTTTTCTGCCTTCAGTGTGATTTGATTCTGACTGACATGTTTCTACTAGCAGTCTTTTTGCTTATTCTGTTTTGTAATGGGTAGTGCACACAAAATATAAAATTTTGTTTCTGTAAGAAAAGGAAGATATGTAATGGATCAAGATAATACACAATTACTATTGAACATTCAAAAAAGAGAGAACTTACACAGCATCACTGCTAAAGAAATTGTAGCTATTCAAAAATTTAATTGTGAAACTAAAATATCTAGAATAATTAAATGAGTTTGGATAAAAACAAAGACCTTAAATCTGCATGCCTGTAAGCACATTTGTAACATCATAACTCAATATAAACCCCAGTCTCAGTGAAGCTGTTAACACACAGAAAGTTAAGCAGGTTTATAAGACACTGGAACACTGTGCAATTTATTCTCTCATTATTTTGAGGGGGTCCTAGAGAACTGCAGCTTTGACTACTGAGAATTTCTTTGATCCTTTCATTAGAGCAGAGAGTTACCTTCATCTTCTAACATAACCCCAAATTCAGACAGAAATCATAAGTTGTTGTATCATCACCTAAATTTTAAGCTGTAACCCAGGGAGAAAACTGGAGCAATTGCAATCCTTCATCTAATAGGGAATATATTGTATCAGGTTTACTGAACATGAAATGCCTTATGCACAAAAGCCTGTGCCTGAAGAACTCAAAGATAGAAAAACTCTTTGAAGTATCTGTTATATATTCTGTAAACAGCCTTTTCTTCTATCAGCATTCTGCTCAACACTCTACAAGAGACAGAAATTCAGCCTTAGAATCAGACTAGTCAATATCTCCCTACATCTCTCTGCTATGTACCTACAGAAAAACCTTGACTGTGAGGAAAGATCCCTTGTGCTAGATTCACCTGAGAGTCAGGAGCTGGAGGGGTTTTCAGGCACCCAGAGAAATCCAAATGCCCAGCCACAGACAAGGGAGGTGAGGAGAGAGTGCAAGCTAAGAGCTCCCTACCCATCTGGGGCACCCTAATTTCAACCCCATGCCCATCTCTCAGGCTTTGGAGTACAGTGTGGCTCTTTGGAGGTGGCAGGAACACCCTTCCCCCTTTAAGGCTCCTCAGTGTTGACCCTACCACATAAACACACACTTTAGGGCTGACTTGATCCTTAAATTAGCCTCCTAGCCTCCAGGGTAGCTTGAAGCTTTGCATGCCTGTGGTCTCTTTCTCCAGGAACATGAACATCATCATTCAACTTCCTCAGCCTTCAGGTCTCCTCAGGAAAGTCCTGAACCTCCCTGGCCTCAGAAGCAATGGAAGCACTACTAATCCATTCTTAGAGGGGCTTGACCTCATCCTTATCCCCTGGATTCAGGGGTGGCATTATATTGCAAAAGTTCTACTGGCATTACATTGCAAATGTTCCATATTGCTAGAGTTTCATACCTCCTTGATGTTTCTCATAGGCAGCTCCTCCAGGCACTGACTCTTCCTCATCCTCACAGCAGCCAGCTGACTCCAGTTCCCCCCACTCAACCAATCCACTCTTTTATAGCACTCTTCTGATTTGCTACAGCTGTGGCCTGTTAACATCAGGCCTGCTCCTAATCCTTAATAATTGGCTCAGCTGCAACTCTTTAGGGGGTAAGATCACTTTCTATACTACCTTTATTTACTTATGGTCTATCCCCCTACGGTGGCGTCCCCAAGCCAGGTAGAGGATGGTGAAAACCCAAGCCAGGTTGCCTTGTTCTGTGATCCCCTTGCCCCCCCCCCCCCCCCCTCCCCCTCCCCCCACCTTACCCTCTGCAACCACGTAGTTTAAGAGGAGAGTTCAGGGAAATTTGGATTGTTCAACACTTGCTCAACCCAACTGACTGCTTCAGCATGCCAGTTTCTAGCTGCTGGTCACACACCCCCACACCCATTCCACCCATGCCAGCCATTCAGTCCCTACACCTCTTTGGGGGCAGCATGAACTGGCCCCAGGCACCCCAGAGGAGCCTCAAAGCCCAGGGAGGGGTGACTCAGGGAGCCCTCACCTACAAGGCACAGTCTTGTAGGGTCTGAACAGGTTGGGCAGACCTGGGAGCTGGTACCAACCTCCATGAACAGTGCTAGGTTGCTGAAGGCAGGGTGATGACTTGGGTGGTCTATCCTGGAACTCCTGTCAGGTGGAGCAGCAAGAGGCCGGGCTGAACACAA